GGCCGAAAAGAAACATTTTACGGACTGAAATGAGTCCGTAAAATAGCTGTTTTGGGGAGCGTATGACAAAATAATTAATATCATTATAGACGGCTTTGCTATAAACGTTACAAATGTTGCAAACTGTTTACTTCAGCATTGACAGCTTGTTAGTGACTCGATACTTTGACTAGTGAGATTTACTGTAAGTAATTTTCATTTTTAATTTGCAATTTTCATTTAATTATTTAATTCAAAGTAATGGTCCGTGGAAAAACTCACAAATCAAAAAGCAAAAGTATTACAATAATTACAAAAAAAAAAAAAAAAAACAATTCGAAAAATTTCTGATGATTTATGTATTCCAAAAACCACGGTCTTCAAATACTAATAAAAAATACGGCAAATCTACCAATGTAGCCGTTAGAGGTAAAAGTTCGGAAGGCCAAAAGTTGTATCTCAAAGAGATTTACGGAATTTAGTAAAAATTTGCAAATCTGCTAGAAGAAGTACTCTTCGCGAAGTAACAGTTAAATGGAATACTGTAACTGGTTTAAATATATATCAAGAGAATGTTGCCGAAAATATATCCATAAATGCGGTCTGGGGTTTTACGAGGTAAACTTTATTTTGTGTGGATAATCAATTACCTGAAGATTATTGATAGAAATTCTTATTTAGGCCAAAAAAGAGAAAACTTACTTACTGACAGAAATTCAAAAGAAAAATCGCTACAATTGGGCAAAATCTAAATTATTGTGGACACAAAATGATTGGAATAAAGTCATATTTAGCGATGAGTCTAAATTTGATGTTTGCGTTGGTGATCATCGAAAACGAATACGAAATGTCTGAGCAGAAGTCTTTTCGACATTAAGATTTAGCAAAGAGGGTTTGTTAAATTTCCTAAGGGATTATGGTTTGGGGTTGCATGTCAGCAAGAGATTTGGGCAAATTAAATTTTATAAATGGCACTGTTAACGCCCAAAAATATCTAAACATATACGTGAGACCTCACTTTTGCCTAGTGCTCTAGAATTGTTTTCAAACGAAGACTATATTTTACAACAAGATGGAGCATCGTGCCATTCCAGCAAAATTAACTCAAAAAATTGGTTCCCAATAATAATATAAAAAGTTCTATCTCATCCTGCAAGTAGTCCGGACCTCAATGTTATAGAAACTGTGTAATAAAATGGTAATATTTAAGAAACCAGCCTCAACAACGACAATTTTTGATTTGCGGGCAAAACTGCAGGAAATTTAGGATAATTTTCTCCTCAAATGTGCCAATCTTTGGTAAATACAATGCCGTTAAGAGTTCAGGCAGTTATTAAGGCGAAAGGTGATGTAACTCCGTATTAAACTAATTTCTTGTTGTGCCGTCCCAATATATAGTTAACAAAATTTAACTGATTTTTTTTTTTTTTTAGAATATTTGTGCAGTGTATGGTTGTGAAAGTAGAAAGATTTTTGTAAAATTGTCTAGATCATATTGTAATGTTTGAATTCAGAATAATAAACAAAATAGAATTGAGTCGTTTTATTTTATTGCCAAAAAAGACCTTGTCCCAAGATATAGTTGTTAGTGCTCGTAGTATATTGATACAGACGGAATAGTTCATCTGTGAACGATAAGCAGTACCAGATCCTTTTTAAAATTGATATTTTTGGAAGGTTGTATTCCATTGCCTCTTATTGTGGAAAAGTTATATACAATATGATCGAAAAAAAGGCGTCGGTGATGGCTATGAAATGAAGATCGCTGTCATTTATTTATATGTAAATTATATGGGGAATGTCTTCGATCGTCATTCCAAGCCAACTAGACGCCGTTTTTTCGATCGCTTTGTTATTTTGTGGGTCTTGAGTAGGGTGCAAAGATTTAAATCAACTTGATTTTTTTATTCATGGATTTGAACTTTGAATAAAAAGCTTAAAAAAGGTGACCGGTGGCGTGAGGTAGATCCCTCGTCTACCAATCTCAAGGTTGTGGGTTCGAATCCTGCACCCTGCATTTCATCAGCTTCATATTTTTATAAAATAAAAATAGTTTGGATATCTAGGTCGACTCAGCCTTAAATGAGTACTTGGTATTCACAATCCTGGGGTAATAATAGGCGGTTGAAGCGTATAGTGCTAACCAGGCGGATGAAACTGGCCATTTGAATTTTGGAAACACGACGGAGTTTCTGCCAGTAGAGGGATAGATGGCGCTGCGTAGAAATTTCATCTAAAGTCCCTAGATATTCATCTAGGGACTTTAATTTCATCATGATTTTATCAAGTCATCCACAGAGTATAGTTTAATTAGCAATTCATTTGATTCTCTGTTGAGTAATTGGAGTAGTTGGGGTAGTTGAAAAATATAAATATAAATTATATAAAATGTTTTTTTTTTTTTTTTTTTTTTATTTTATGTTATGAATAAATATTGGTATGAAGTTTGCTTTCGCGAGAAACAATTATAGTTAAATAATTTATTAAAAATTTAATTTCTAAGTGACCCGGATCAGTTAGATTAGTAAAATAAATTGAAAAATAAACATCTAATTCTATATTTGGCCAGTCTGTCAGTTTCGGTAAAGTGAAACTGAATGAAGTGAATTGTGATTTGTTTTTTATGGGAATATTTTACAGATTTCTCAATTTTAAGTTTATTGTTTGGACAATGATAAGTTCCCAAAATTTAAAATAAATAGTTTTAATCATAATTAATTGATCCTATTGAAATTTTTACTGAAATTTCTCATAATCAAAAAACTCCCAGAAAAAAACTGTAAAAAAAAATAAAAAATCATTAATTTTAAAGTTTTATTTAAATGAATTTATATCAGTCAAAAATTTGTATACTTATATTAAAAACTTAATTTTTAAAAGGTTGTACAGTAATTTATGTAAGTGTTCGCTTTTAAGATAAATATTAAATAAATTTGCAAGAAGCAAACAAAAACAGGTTTAAAAGATCATTGTTTATTTAAACAAGCGAGAGCGCATAATCCTTCATTTAGTTTGAGAATATATTTGTATTTACTTATTTATATGGCTTTACTATAACATATTATAAGCTTTATACTATGACTGTTTTTTGTTTGTAAATACAACAGTCATCGAGAATGGGTTAATAACAATTTTTGTCCCTTGGCTTTCTGTATTATATAACACTTGGTGTAAGATGTTTCTAATTGAATAGGTCATTAAAGTTGAGATTAAAGTTATATTATCAAATTATATACACGTTAACTAGGTATAACAACTTTTGCCTATAATGATTTATTTATTTACATAATTTATAACTTACACCCATAATTACTTATTACTGATTGTATAAATTCTGATAGCATATACTTGTATGGCAGTATTGAATGTGTTATAATTTAACAAAGTTATAATAAAATAATCAAGTTACAGATTTTTCGTGTTTTATTCTAATTTCAGGGATAATTAAACTGGAATTATTAATTTATTTGTATCAACATACATTATTTTTGTTTGTAAGTGTTTTGTTACAAATAAATTTAGAAATCTAGATTGAAAACCACCAGACAAATAAAAAAACTTATGCACTGGCAGTAAAAAGGTCATTTAAAAAATATGGCGCGAACTATTAGTTCTGCCAGTAGCCCCTTGGATCGCGTCGAGCGCCTGTTTCCAGGCTTTAACATAGGAGTTTTCATTTCTTTCAGTTAGTTATTCTATGGTGCTAACCACATTACCTTCCTTGTATATTGAACGGCTCTAGCATGGCAAGCTGTACCTTGCTACTCCCAAGGCGTTAAATACTATATACGGGAGCTGTTATTATTATATAGAAAGCTTAAGGAAGAAGCATATCAAAAATCTTTGTTGTTTTATTTTACGTTGTGAATAAATATTGGTAGTTAATAAAATTGTTATAAAAATATGTAATTCTAATAAAAATAGATAAGTTATAATAATTATTTATTTACACAAACATCCGATAAGCTACTGAAGCAGGTAAGCCAAATTGACGTATCTGAATTGATTCTTAGATGCCGGAAACAAAAGTATGGCAGTATAAAGTTATTGTACAAAATGTTATTCTAAACTGAAACAGATATTGATATTACTTCCAGAATTACAGTACTTGTAATGTCCAACAATACCAGACTTTATAAAAAAAACGCGCTTCAGAAAGTAGGTCAAACTTTATATTAACAGAAAAAAGGGTTAATGTATACACATTATCACCTATTTAATTTAATAGAGTTAAGGATGAGTAATGGGCTAGTCTTTAGGGCTTGGAAGTGTAACGTTGTTTTTTTAATCCGCTATATCACGCAAACGACCATTACTTTAGCACGAAATGGCTGAGATACGTTTTGAAGTAATGATATCCTCTGTATATTCGATTTCTTTGGACTTATTTTAAATTAATAATAAATTTTAGCCAACCAAAGGTTGCTATTAAGATTTACATACATAATAATGTTAAAATACAAATTATTGATTCATCACTTGAAAAAATACGCCCTGTATTTTAAACTTTTAATTAATTAACTATTAGTGTGTCGCATAATTTACTAAAATAATTAAATTTTATTGAATTTCTGTAAATAATATTTGGCTTTCTTTTTAACCTGATAATTAATTGCTTTTTTTCATTATTAACAATAAAAAAAAAAAAGATAATAAGAAAATTGTAAATATATCATTAGGAGCGAAGCTAATTTAGAAATTCCTCTACCTTTCTAGTAAAAATTAAAATTTTCCGTTGTCATGTTCTGTTTGCATCATGCAAGTTTTGTATCAAATAATTGTAGAGAGTTACATTAAAATATTCTTATTTATATTATTTCCATATTTTCAGTTTGTCACTGATTTGTAATAGACATCAATTGATATCATCCCACTAGTAGAATAAAATACCGTATTATCGAGGTGATTTTAAAACGATGTCTAGTGGTTTGGAAATGAACATCAATGATTATTTTTTTTACATAAAAAATGACAGCTGACCTTCATTTCATAGCCATCGCGAATGTCTCTTTTTCGATCACATTGTGATCCACCAACTCAACACTAGTGAAATCAGCATCATCATCATTCATTTCCAATTTATGGTGTAGCTTTCCCTTACATACGCTCTTTGTAGTTGGGTTCATTGTTGTCTATTGCTGGAGATGCGGTCTCAAATTATCCCTCCTTAATTTCTAATATTATGAGTTCTAATCTCAGGTTGGGTCTCTTTTAGCGCGTCTCTTAATTCCTGGTTGTGTTTTCTGGGGGGTTTTTTTTCCCCCCATCTGTTCTCATTTTTTCTTGTCAGGTGTCCTTATTACCCATTGCCATATTTGAGGGGTTTGACTCTGTGGATGACAACTATTACCTGGGTCTTATGTCGTTTTGACTAGTGGAATACTAAATTAAAAATACGAATGTTCTTTAGACTTCGCAGGCAAGTAAATAAGTAGTTGCTTCTTGAGCATCAGCAAAAAATTCTGCAGGAAAAACCTTTGGACCTTTTTAAACCGCGAGCTTCTGATTTTAGTTTTCTCAAGCCTTTATTTGTTATAAATACTAATCACCATAATTTTAATTCGATTTTTAAAATAATGCTTTTCTGCTAATTTGTCATATAAAATTTTTTTTTAATTTTTAACTAAATATATAATTTTTTTTTAGAATGTAGAATGTATAAGAGGGATTTAATCACCTCGACGTTATAGTTCTATTTTGTCCACTCCAGAAAATTAAAAAAATACCAGTCTTACGTGATTAATTACGTGAACTGTATTCTACAGGGTTGTTCACAGCATACGACACGGAGTAGTAGCTAAACGAGAGATTTTTACAAAATTGTAAGTTTTGGGTTCGATGAAGGACTACTAGGGGTACAATTGAAAATAATTTTACAAGATACAAAGAGTGTCCCAAAATAAGGTAAAAAATATCAAAGTTGTATTTTTTTAAATTGGAACACCCCCTGTATATTATTAGCATTTTTTAGTTTCTACGATTAAAATAAAGGTAAATTTGATATAAGATTATTATTACTTAAACCTTACCGTTTATTGAAATATTTTCAATTTTGCTGAAAATTGCAGTTAAAAAAATTAAGGCTTTCATTTCTCCAAGGTATCAAAGTTTTAATACTAAATATCTACGAAGTTTATTTACTGATCAGTTATTTGTTGCAATAAATTAAAAAAATAATACTACCTTATACAGAGGTGTTCTAAAAAATTTATTTAAATAATTATTAGCTTCAACCGGACAATAAACTTGTTTAATAAATGGAACACCCTGTTATATTTTTACGAGAAATCAAGATGCACAATTTAATTGTCTATCAAAATTATATTTATACCATTTTTTATCTATTTCTTTTTAATTTCCGTAGAAAAATGCATTTTTCTTTAAAAAAAAAAAAAAAAACTTATTTATCAATATTACCCATGGACTATGTTGACATTTTAGATATTTTTAAAGATGCTTACCAAATTTTTAAGGAGTACAGATACTAATATTGTCCGATATAATTCGTTATTTCATTAAAAAATTAAAAAAAAAAAAACTGTTTAAATATATGTGTTAAAAGAGATCAATTATATTGATTCCAGTATTCAAACTACCTACATTAACTGACTGTTTGCTTTGATTAATAAATTGCTCCAAATACTAAATAACTGAATTTTGTATGGCATTATACAGTGTTGATAAAGAAGTAAGCACCTTAAAAATTATATTTCATTTTTTAATAAAATGCTTATTATAAACAACAGAGACTTCAATTTTGATAACTTATTTATTATATTGATTTCTGACTCAAATCCACATTTATTTATAATAATTTATTAACAAACACAATTAAGTAGTTAATTAATAGTATATGGGCGGAAATAATGGTGTTATATTTAATTTAATGTATTACCGTTACTTCTTTTATAAAGATTTAAATAGGTTTTCTTTTGCATACAAAATGGCGCTAGTAATATTATCGTTTTGCTAAAACGATTAATATTACTAGTCCTGTACATTTTTTGTACATTTGTTGCTTTAAAAACAATCTAAAATTTCAATATTCCATGGATAATAAATGGGGTCTAAAATTATAAGAAAATGCATTTTCTACGAAAACCTTGAAGGGATAGGTAAAAAATGTTATAATACAATTTGATAGACAATTTAATTGCGCATCTGATTCTCCTAAAATTTACAGGGCATTCCATTTAAATAAAGAAGTTATTGCCGTTTGAAGCTAATTAATTATTTAAAAAATTTTTAGACACTCTGTATAAAGTAAGTATTATTTTTATTATTGCAACAACAATAACCGAATCAATAAATAAACTTTCATTAAATATTTAGGCCCATTAAAAACTTAGATACCCCTTGGAGAAATGAAGCTTTTAAAATTTTTACTGCAATTTCACAAAATTGAAAATATTTCAAAACGTTTTTTTTTTTTAATTTATAATAAACATTAAATCAAATTTACCTTTATTTTAATCGTTAAAAACTAAAAATGTAGTATATACAGGGTGTTTCCATTTAAAAAATACAACTTTTTGATAATTTTTTATTTATTTTGAAAAAAAAAAAAAAACTGTTTAAAAAATATGTTTAAATTGTAGCTCTAATAGTCCTTCAACGAACCCCAAACTTACAATTTGTAAAAATCTCATCGTTTAGCTACAATACTACGTGTCGTATGTGGTGAACAACCCTGTATATGTATTAGAAAATCATGTTGAACAGACGGCGGCGACGCGCGGTCTGTTCAACTTAAAAAGACTCAGGGCAAAACACGTACAAAATTCATCACAGAACTTCAATACGCTGATCACTGCGCTCTAGTTGGAAACACGTTACAACAATTTACCAAAGGAAAATGTTGAACACATATACCTGGGCATACGAGGCTTTGGTCCTTAAGCTAAACATCGACAAAACCAAAAATCATGTGCACTCCCCGGGAAGATCACAACAATGTTATAAAAAAATCGGAGAAGAAACTATTGGACTATGTGGCGGAATTCACTTACCCGGCAGTTTGATTTCGGAAAAGGCCAATATTGACTCTGAAGTTCACCACAGAATTAGCAGCGCCTCAAATAATCATGACTTTGGAGAACAAAAACGAAACTTTGCAGTGTACGAGCAATTATAATCCCCACAATGTTATTTGGGAGCGAAACCTGGGTACCTACCCGGCCGACACATGAACGCATCAAAGAAGTTTGCAACAGAGACATCTTAGGCAAACTCTTAAGAATCCAGTGGTTCCATCATGTCTCAAACGTATCCGGTTCTTGAAAAAAGCTAACTGCGAGAGTATTAGAGTCATGATTATAAAGTCCCTCTTAAGATGGGCTGGTCACGTATGCAGAATGCAAGAAAACCAAATTACCAAAATCTCTGCTTATGGTGAGCTTGTAAGACGGTAAGAGGAGGCCGGTGGACAACTCAAAAGGTACAAGGACATTTTCCACGAAAAATTAAAGGAGATTAACATGCAAAATGAGTGGGAAGAAGCAGCTCACAATAGAAAACTCAATGGAGAAGAATTGTAAACTCAGTTAAGAGCGACAACCAATAAGTAAAGAGACAACAAAGCAATGAGGTTATTGAATGTCCGGAGTGCTATAGGCAGATTGAACATTCAAGTATTCGGGTTAGTGATGGGTTGTTATTTAAATACTATCTGTTATTTTTATAAAACAATTAAAAAAAAAAAAAAAAAAAAAAAAAAAAAAAAATTCTAAAAAATAACAGATATAAAATAACGACACGTAGAGATCGGCCGCTCCTGAAACGAAAAACGAAGTCGCTGCTCTGCAACACCACGAAATTCTATGCTGCAAGAAGCAATTCCTAGTATGGATGGAAAACATGTTATTTCGACAACCATCGGATACAGGCGGCGAGATACAACCAGATACAACAGACAACGGAGTGGGGAAAGCGCTAAGGCGAACGTAGCTGCTTCAGTCGAAACCGTCGATGGTCGTATTGGGCTTAGTTTTGCAACAGCTAGCTTTTTTTCGTTTTCCTGTTAATATTACCGATATCTGAACCGTCCTTAGAATTGTTGCATGCGTATTGCGCAGAAGGAAATATTGAAGACATTGCGGCATGCGCTGGAGGTTCTAGGACGATTTCAGAATCGATTTATAACAGAAAACGAACAACCTCTTAAAAAATAATAGGATATTTAAAAGAAGCAGGTTTTTTTGAAACAGTTGCGGGCATAACGCCTGACTGTCGAGATAACAGGAGAGGGAAAGAAACGCTGCTGCATCGGTCGATTGTCGATGGAGGCTCGCAACGGGTTGAGAAGCAGTCATTTTAGATATGTTGGTTTTTTCAACAACAAATTTTTAGATATGTTGTTATTCTTGAAAAATTTTCAGAATAATATTTTAAGATTTTTTAAAAATGTATACAGGGTTGTTTTGAAAAATCTGTCATTGATAATTCACGATCCTGCTTAAGCCAATCAACGTAAGAAGCCCAATTACAGGCTCAAAGACATACAGGTTGATTCTAATGTGTAGAGGTTCGATAAGAAGGGATTTTTCGAAACTCGAATTTAAGGGGGCTGAAAAAACTACTCCAAATATTAAGAATAATTTTTTAAAAATTTTAAAAACAAAAAAAAATTTTTTTCGGAAAAAACTCTTAAAACACGTATTTTTATTAATGTTTTTTACATATTTAAGATTTTTTTAAAAATATATACAGGGTGTTCATAAAATTAATACATTTTTTTTTAATCATACAGGGTGTTTTTGCTTAAACTGCTTGACGGTTTAAAGCTGATTTTTTGGCAAACGGATTGACCTGTGGGATTGACTGTGGGGTGTTCGATAAGGAGGGGTACTCAATCTAATCTCAAATTCCAACAGGGTGAAAACGCCCCTCAAATATTACAATATTTGTTATTTAAAAAACGGTTAGTCTTTCTTGCGGCGGAAAACGCCTGGACACCATAATTTATTTTGATTTTTTTTTTTACATATTTTGAAATTTTTTAAAAATGCATACAGTGTTCCTAAAAGTTGAGTAATTGATAAACCACGATTCTGCTTAAACTGTCGACGTTAGAAAGCTTATTTTTGGCAAATGTAGAACATTTTATCCAGTGTGTATATTAATGGAA